ATTAGAATAGCATCAACATATAGACATACAATTATGTATTTGTTAGGTGTGATTTTTATGTGAAAACATTGGTCACACATTTATTAATTTTAAAGCCATTTGATAACAAATTTTTGTCAAATTTTTCATTTCATTGCTTCGGTGCTTTTTTACAAGCTTACAATTCTTCCTCTCCTTTCCCGTAGCAACAAACCATTTGGGTTATTCCTTATATATTATTCTTCTAATTCACCACTAAAATGCAATATTGACATTCATTTAATGTATTTTAAGATTATGTAATGCCACGATTGCAATCAACACTCGATGGATGTGATCCTTGTAACAAGTGAATAGGTATTGAAAAAATCTAGTCTTTTTTTGTCTATACCTTTTGGCTAGTAATCTAGCCTATATTTGTCTATTAATCCATTAGACTTTAATTTCTTTTTGGAAATCCATTTGCAACCTTGTCTTTATTTCTCGAATGGAGCTCAACCAATTCCAAAGTATGGTTGTACATATGGATTCAATTTCATTATTAATCACTTCTTTCCAAAAGGAGCTTTGAGAGATAACATTACTTCGCTAAATGTCCTTGGATCATTTTCTAATAAGTACGTTAGAAAATTTGGACCAAAGGTCTTATGAGTCCTTTGCCTTTTGATGCGCCTTGGTTCTTCATCTATTTGATAAGCACCATCTTCCTAATGGTTTCTATTTGTAGTAGTATAAGTTCATTTATGTGAGCTTAGTTCTTTTCCTTTACATGGAAAAGAAATCTTCAAAAAAAGTAGCATTTCTTGATTCAATAATAGTACCCATATGTACATCAAATATTTCTGATTTATGAACTAGAAATCGATATGTATTACTACTGTTTGTATATTCGATAAAGACATAATCTATTGTCTTCAGCTCAATCTTTACTTGTTTAGATTTAGGTATTTGTACATTTGCTAAACATCCCCACACTTTCAGGTATTTGTAGGAATATTTTCGACCTTTCCATAATTCATAAAGTGCTTCAACCTTACTTTTGTGTGGTATTTTATTAAGGATGTAATTAGCCGAAAGTAGCTTCTACCCACAAGTTTTGTCGTAAATTATCAATATTGTATTCATCATTTCTTTAAGTCAATACCGTTAGATTGAGTGAGTATGATGTCATTATTTGATGAATGATTCTATATTTGAACAAAATTCTTCAAATGGTGCAATATATTCTCAAGTTGATTTTCAACTTCAATTTTATAGTGTTTAAATATTTCCAAAGCTTCATATTTACTTTTCAACAAATATATGTGCAGTATCTTGTATAATCATCTATGAATGTGATTAAATACTTTTTACCACTTTTCTTTTGAACAAACTTTAAGTCACATGTATCGGTGTGAATAAGTTCCAAAGAAGTTGTGTTTCGTTCAACTGAATGAAAATGACGCTCTGGCCAACTTAGCATCTACACATATCTCGCATTTTCCATTTGTATTAAAAGGCATATTCGGTAGTCAACTTAAATTCATTAACTCGCATATAGAATTAAAGTGTGATTGTCCTAATCTATGATGTCATAAATTAGACGACTCGAGGATATAAGCGGAAGATATTTTATTCCTTGAGTTATTTGGTAAAACAATCCATCTTTACCTAGCCTTTGCATACATATGTATTGTTTTTTGTAAGTATAAACTTATCGAATATAAAGACTGATTTGAAGCCATTTTTGCATAACAAAGAACACGACACTAAGTTCTTGCGAATATTCGACAATGAAGAACATTGTTAAGACTGAGTTCCTTGCTCGATATCATCTTCAAAATCACTTTGCCTTATCCTTTAACCTTTGAACTTGAAGAGTTTTCCATGAACAATTTCTCACCATCGGTAGGAGTGTAGAATGAAAACATTTTCTTTGTCGATACAAATATGACTAGTAACACTCGTATCCACCCACCATTCCATGGAATTTCCAACATTGTTGCATTCTGTAATAACAGTCGATAAGTTTATATTTGATATACCATCAGATATAGCTTCAGATTCGGTGATATTCACTTGGGCTTGTTTCTTAGGTTTGCGATAATCGATAGAGCGATATTCGATATTTCCATAATTATAGCAATTGCCCTTGAACTTCTTTGCATTCTTCTTTACTTCCTTGCTTGAAAGACTCGATAGAATGCTTCATCTTCTTATTTTTGTCATTTGATTCCACCACATTAGCCTTTGCTTCGACTTTCGTTTATCTTCTTCAATTCTCAACCAGTCGATAAGTTCTTCAATATTTGATATAGCATCAGATTCTTATGCATGATATAAATCTTAAAGTCCTTCCACATGGGTGGAAGTTTTTCAATGATTGTAGCCACTTGAAATAATTCAATTAGAGACATGTTCTTGGCTCGAGTATCATGGAGAAGAACCTGCAACTCTGGTACTTGATTGATGACCTTCCTTGAATCTACCATTTTGTAGTTCAAAAACTTTCCCACTATGAACTTCTTAGTTCCAACGTCTTCAGTATTGTATTTCTTCTCTAAGAATTCCCATAGTTCCTTTGTGGAAGCATCTTCATATGAGATGGAACAACATTTTCTGTTGCCATCTCTTGAAATCAACCTTAATAATTTCTCTAGTTTCACTCCGTGTGGAAGAAGTTTGTGTGAACAGTAGGAAGGGCAACCACAATCGGAGGAATCACGCCGATAGGAACCAAGTTGGGAACAACTCCTTTCGAAGTTCCCACATTTGAAGTATCATTTAAAGTAGTATCGATATCATTAACTATATTTATTTCTATTTACACAAAATAGGGGATAGACAAAAATCAAGATCCGAGAAGGAGTAGAAGAGGTTAAATCGAGATGAAATCAATTTAACTAAGTATAAATATATAGAAATTTCATTCAAACCAAAAATCGACTTTAGGTTGTTGTTTTTGAAAAAAAAAATGGATTCAAGTGATTTTTTTAACCAAATATGAACTTACCAACCTTATCAAATTGGACAGAGTAATGGCAAGGAAATCAGTAATAAAATATCAAAGAAACACCAACAAAAAAGGACAAAGTAATACCAAGTAAATTGGATGCAAAGTCAAGGCAAGAATTGAACTCTTTATCCTTAAGTCGATTTTACCTCACAACAGTGCTTACGGATGATGGCATTCAACTCCCAAGATATAACGACTACCTCCATGTGTTTGTAGCACTTCAAACCCACAAAAACAACGAACCAAAGAACGGTTTTTGTACTCCTTTCGTTTGAAATAAAAGACAAAATTTTATGCAGAATTTTGACTAGGAAATATGAATTTTATGTTATGTTATGACTGCATATGATTGGGACATTGTAAGGATATCCCAAGGGTCTTATCTATAGAAAAAGAGATGGTGTAAGTGAAGAGACACGCCCAAAAACTCACTAGCCTACATGAAGGATCGCAACCCATTCTATCACTAGCCTACCGCTGGCATGTTGCTCAAGCGGGTGTTATTTTATGCAGAGACTTGTCGGTCCAGCGACATTCTTATTGCTCAGTCACTGCTCAAGTGCTAGGCAAGCAGTGGAGTTAGGTAAATTCTCGGTCAGTATTCCCTCTTTTCTTTCCAACTTTGGATCATAATTTATCGTTCTTCCGAAATTGGTTTTGAAATTTCAAATATACCAATATCATCCACTCGACGAGTAGAATAAGTTAGTCTATTTATTTTCATATTTTGACTATTGGATCTAGTCCCAACATTAAGCCGAAGTTGACAGAAAAGTCATGTTTTCATGGTTTTTACTTAACCAAATTTTATCTCTTTTAAACCAAATTCCAACATATAAGTACATATTTGTTATTTGACAATAACTTTGAGTTAAAAATATATAAATTTTTTATTAAAAAAATAACACGGTAAAGTGTTTGAGCAATGTCGGTATCCGCATGTCGGACACGGATATGTTATCCTAGTTGAAGTGTCCGTACAAGTCATATCAATGGTTGGAATTGAATCTTGAGGTTCCAAAGCAGAAATTTCATGGGGATTGTTGTAAGCATAGTTTGAAGGGCTGGAGTTAAGACTGGGAGATTCGGCAAGTTTTTTAGTGGATGCAAGTATTGATTGCTGAATAGGAACTGCTACAGGAGACTGTGAGAGCATAGGAGCTGTTGAGGCTGTTTCTGTTCTTGTAAGTTTTTCGGTAAGAGAGAGAGAGAGGTTTGCTACTCAATAATTCATGCAATTTGGACTTGTACATATATACAGAGGAAGTGAATTGAAGTGTTGCTACTCAATAATCTTGATCTGTTATTTTAGATACCAACGGGACAATGAGACACTTAGGAAAATTACATGCTCTTAGGACTTCCGAAGATGCTGTCAATGGATACCTTATTGGAGATGCATTAAATCAGATTTATTTATTTATTTTTCCCCTGCTGGAGGGTTCAAACGGTACGTAATATGAGAAAGTTTTGTATTTTATCGTTTCTACTCCCGAGAACGATGGAATCATTTTTTGCTTTATTTTTTGTGTTTAGGTACCTATATATTTTTCCAGAGGGATCTGATGGGAAAGGCAGGTGGTTGACATTCTGTTTGAGCTTAGTCGATCCCTTCAGTCTTCTGCTTGGACATAATGTCTGTGAAATATGATTTGAGAGTGATAAATCAACTAAATGGGATTCACGACCAAAGCAAAGGTACTAAAAGTAATTGTTTTTCTACTGAATTAACTCTGATTGTTCTGTGTTCAAGTACTTGATGCACCGAGTCTAATGCATATCTGGTATAAATCCAACAATCATTTAGATAAATTTTGTAATGCATGTTATAAAAAGTTATCATCCTCGTTAATCTATTCGGGTTTTCCAGCTTTCATGCATTCGTTTTATCTCACTGACAATTCAAATGGCTTTGCTGCGAATGATAATCTACTGGTGGAGTAACAAATATTTATCCACTGCAGAATACTGTTCATGAATTCGCAGTAAAAAAGTACTGTAAGTTAATCTTTATGAACGAGTAATAGAACTCGAAATCCATGTAATGAATATTTATTATCAGAAATCCCAGCTTATTTGCTTGAAATATATTAATACAGACATTATATCAATTACTTATATTAGTTTTCAATAATTATGTAGACAGATACTTCTATCCATTGTTGAACCCTTCATTTTTCAGGTAGGGTAGTTCACTTGGTTTGGCGTGTAGAAGCCGATTAAGTAGGTGTTATGCCTCTGAATTGACCCGTTGAGATGGGCCCCTGTTTGGTGAACAATCAATGAAGCAAACTCAAAACTGGCTTTTGCTAAAAAAAAATAAAAAAAATGACTCAAATAAAAATAAACGAATTCATGTTGACTGAAAAATATTATGAAATTTTATGAATTTCAAAACGTAATTTACAATTTCTTAGTGTTTTTCACTGCCATGAACTATGAATTCAAGAGAACATCTTGTATATTCTTGGATCAGCCATACATTCTTAATACACAGTAAATCATTATAAAATTTATTAGAGCACTCAAAAAGAGGAAACTCTCGCCTTATTGAGAGTTCTTGAATCATTTCAATTTTCAGATACTTCACCTGAAAAATTACCTGGAAATATTTGAGTTCGAGTTCCGGCTCATGTTTTTGTACCTTGATAGCAGTACCTTTGCACTGCAAGAAAGTGATCTCTCTATCATAGAAGGCCCTGTTTGTATAGCCCTTTGAACTGAAGAACTTGCGTCTAATCTTGATAGGCTCTGAATATTGCCAGATTTCTTTGGAACAATACTCGTATTGGATTGATTTTCTGACTTTCGATTAGGCTGTGATGAGAAAGCATCTGCTATAGCAGCACTGATCATTGAAGCTGACAAACTATCCACTGAAACTGATCTTCTCATAGGTTGAATCTCAAAATCCAAATCTTGACTATTTTCATGTCTCTTCGATTCGTCTTCATCCTCAATCTCGACTGTCAACTCGAAATCTTCTTCTCTTTCTCGTCCAAGTTCTTCATCGTTCTCCGAAATATCGACTCGAGTTTCCTCCACAGAGCCTGAATTATGCACAATTTGCTCCTGTGATGGCAAGCTTGATGTGTTGATCACAATACCAGCCCTACACATGGGGCAATTGGTGTGTGATCTAAGCCAAGTATCAATACAAGGTATATGAAAAGCATGGTTGCATTTAGGCAACAATCTAAGAGTTTCATCTTCTTGAAACTCATTCAAACAAACAGAACAATCTGTTCCCTCAATAAGTCCATCGCCTCTTTTATACTTGACTATTGAAATTGCACTTATAACCGATGGTTGAAGTCCAACTGTCCTGATGTACCAAATTGGATTGATAACGGCCAACTGATCTTCGTCAAAATAACGATCTTGGCCCTCCTCCTCCTCCTCCTCTTCCGGTGGCTGCCGCCGCTCCGCCCGCGAATTCCGCCAATTAGAATACAACTTATAGATGGTGTAACAAGCAAAGAAAAAGAAGATTGTGGCTAACACAGCAAGAGAGATGGTAAGCGAAAGAGAGAGTTTGTGAGATTTATCTGGGGGTGGCTTAAAATCGGCGTGGAAGGGTTGGGATGGTTCAGGCGGCGGCGGGGGGATAAAAGGCAATATTGGGTGGTTGCAAACCAGAAAACAGCTACTCAAACATGGAACTGGACAAGCACCATCCAGGTTTATTGTTCCATAGCAATAAGGTGCGCATAGTCGCTCAATATCAGGATCTTTTAGTGATTCATTCAGAAATTTCCTGTGAGAAAAGGCCATGAATCATCCCTTCTGCAATGAAAAGAAACGAAAGGGCCTTGATTTCTCAGATAAAGGAGAAAGAGAGCGACAGAGAGAAAGATGAACCTCTAGATTTGTGACTGAATCAATTCTTGACGATAATGGAGAGGAAAAGTAGTTGGTTTTCTCTTCCTTTACAATTTTTCTTGTTGACTTTTTGCTTGCCTTTTTTGCATGGCGGCTGACTATGTTGGGCTTGGACTAGTCCTCATCCAGCCCAGCCCAAACTTGCAGTAACTTGAAGGACAGTTGGTGGTTGGGTGGGTGGAAGGTCAATTATGTCTTTTTTCGAGGGGCGTTTAATTTGATAAACATAAAAGTTTGACCAAGTACACTTAGATCAGCATCACTTCTTTATGATTTTTCCAAAATGAAAAGAATAAAAAAAAAAAAAAGTAGTTGAACCCCAACCTTAAAGGTCCCCACCGCTCCACTCCTAGAGTATCGTGAGAGAAGTTAATTGCGGGATGTGCCTCAGTAGGCCAGAGAACAAGAGTTATCTGTACACTGATGCCCACAAAGAGTTTCAATCCATGTTTCAGGAATCGAACTCTCACACTGCGACTATCAACAAGGCTGAGTATACCTCACCATTCTCTTTTACACTACTAAGATATGCCTTGGGGATATCTCATGTGACTTAATCACAATTCGAAATTTCATGTGTCTCGTGATGTACATGTAATTGTCATCATCTGAAACAAACTCATTGATTGAGGGAGGATCGAGAGCATCAAGACTAACTAAGTTCTGAGATTAAGCTCATATGTTGCTAATTTTGATCGATATGACTTGATGCTTGAACTTCTCGCAATTAAAGTTTCTTAATTGATCGAAACAAAAGTAGCTCTCTTGATGGTACAAATGTCTATTCATTGCAACGTTCTCCAGTGAAGTGAGACGTATTTATATTTATTGGACAATTTGATAGTTGCCCAACAACCACATTAATTGCTCTTCATCACCATAGCTATGAATAACGTTATTCATTGGATAATAATAAAATACATGGAAGGAGACTTGTCACCTAACATTTACAATAGATAGAGAAGAGAATCGTGCAAAATAAATGTGGGGTACCTCCCACATTACAAAAATCCATAATTATACTAAATGCTTGTTTGTCAATACTTTTAAGTGTTTATAATATGTATGTTCTATAGAATATTATGTGAATAATAAATTACAGATTGTACGAAATGTGTGAATGAAAAGTATGTGTAATTAGATTAAATTATAAGTTAAGTTTGCTAAGCACGATCTAATTACTAAATTACTGATAACAAACATAACAAAATTATTTTTACAACGAATGTATGGGTGTTGGAAGAATTTTGTGAATAGAGACGCCAAAAATAAGTATAAAGATAGGGACAAAGCCGAGGCAAGAGTTGGACTCTTTGTCCTTAAGTCGAATTTGCCCCGCAAAGGTGCCTACGGATTTCGGCAATCGACTCCCAAGATACAACGGCTACACTTGTGTTTGTAGCACTCCAAAACACAAGTACAACGAACCAAATTTAGGTTTATGTACTCCAATGATGAAATGAAAGAAAATCAAAATAAATGAATGATTTTGATTTTGGATAGAAGAGAGGATGAGAGACGTTTTGCATCAAACAAACAGAACAATCTGTTCCCTCAATAAGTCCATCGCCTCTTTTATACTTGACTATTGAAATTGCACTTATAACCGATGGTTGAAGTCCAACTGTCCTGATGTACCAAATTGGATTGATAACGGCCAACTGATCTTCGTCAAAATAACGATCTTGGCCCTCCTCCTCCTCCTCCTCTTCCGGTGGCTGCCGCCGCTCCGCCCGCGAATTCCGCCAATTAGAATACAACTTATAGATGGTGTAACAAGCAAAGAAAAAGAAGATTGTGGCTAACACAGCAAGAGAGATGGTAAGCGAAAGAGAGAGTTTGTGAGATTTATCTGGGGGTGGCTTAAAATCGGCGTGGAAGGGTTGGGATGGTTCAGGCGGCGGCGGGGGGATAAAAGGCAATATTGGGTGGTTGCAAACCAGAAAACAGCTACTCAAACATGGAACTGGACAAGCACCATCCAGGTTTATTGTTCCATAGCAATAAGGTGCGCATAGTCGCTCAATATCAGGATCTTTTAGTGATTCATTCAGAAATTTCCTGTGAGAAAAGGCCATGAATCATCCCTTCTGTAATGAAAAGAAACGAAAGGGCCTTGATTTCTCAGATAAAGGAGAAAGAGAGCGACAGAGAGAAAGATGAACCTCTAGATTTGTGACTGAATCAATTCTTGACGATAATGGAGAGGAAAAGTAGTTGGTTTTCTCTTCCTTTACAATTTTTCTTGTTGACTTTTTGCTTGCCTTTTTTGCATGGCGGCTGACTATGTTGGGCTTGGACTAGTCCTCATCCAGCCCAGCCCAAACTTGCAGTAACTTGAAGGACAGTTGGTCGTTGGGTGGGTGGAAGGTCAATTATGTCTTTATTCGAGGGGCGTTTAATTTGATAAACATAAAAGTTTGACCAAGTACACTTAGATCAGCATCACTTCTCTATGATTTTTCCAAAATGAAAAGAATAAAAAAAAAAAAAAGTAGTTGAACCCCAACCTTAAAGGTCCCTCACCGCTCCACTCCTAGAGTATCGTGAGAGAAGTTAATTGCGGGATGTGCCTCAGTAGGCCAGAGAACAAGAGTTATCTGTACACTGATACCCACAAAGAGTTTCAATCCATGTTTCAGGAATCGAACTCTCACACTGCGGCTATCAACAAGGCTGAGTATACCTCACCATTCTCTTTTACACTACTAAGATATGCCTTGGGGATATCTCATGTGACTTAATCACAATTCGAAATTTCATGTGTCTCGTGATGTACATGTAATTGTCATCATCTGAAACATACTCATTGATTGAGGGAGGATCGAGAGCATCAAGACTAACTAAGTTCTGAGATTAAGCTCATATGTTGCTAATTTTGATCGATATGACTTGATGCTTGAACTTCTCGCAATTAAAGTTTCTTGATTGATCGAAACAAAAGTAGCTCTCTTGATGGTACAAATGTCTATTCATTGCAACGTTCTCCAATGAAGTGAGACGTATTTATATTTATTGGACAATTTGATAGTTGCCCAACAACCACATTAATTGCTCTTCATCACCATAGCTATGAATAACGTTATTCATTGGATAATAATAAAATACATGGAAGGAGACTTGTCACCTAACATTTACAATAGATAGAGAAGAGAATCGTGCAAAATAAATGTGGGGTACCTCCCACATTACAAAAATCCATAATTATACTAAATGCTTGTTTGGCAATACTTTTAAGTGTTTATAATATGTATGTTCTATAGAATATTATGTGAATAATAAATTACAGATTGTACGAAATGTGTGAATGAAAAGTATGTGTAATTAGATTAAATTATAAGTTAAGTTTGCTAAGCACGATCTAATTACTAAATTACTGATAACAAACATAACAAAATTATTTTTACAACGAATGTATGGGAATTAAAGCAAACAAGACAATTTGCGGTGAAGAAATTACCAAAATAGGAAGGATATTAAGCACAATGCTTAATATGGACGTTGTACCTTTGCCATTTGTACAGGAAAAACAACATTGCTAGAAGACAAAGAGGTCCAAAAGTTGGAAACAATATCTTGAATTAATCCATATACAAAGGGAATAAAGGAGAATTATAGGAACAGTTTCGAGTTCAAACTTGCAAGGAACAGGTGACATTTTGTTAAGCAACTAAACTTCAGCTTAAAGTGAGAATATGGGTATGGCAACATCATTTCTTGGCGTGTTAGGATCTTCTATATGTTTAGCAATGCAAGCATTCTATTCTGTCCTTGTAATTAAAAAGCCAGTAATGGCTCCAATCTCCTTCAATTTAATGCATCAAATTTTGCAATCAAAAAGGATTTTGTGAGCACAAATTTTTATCATGGCTGCAAGAAATTCTACATCTCCATACAGACTGCGAAGCTTGGTTACTCTACTTTACCGGTACAGGGTTCCCTCTGTCGACTCGGGTTTACGACACTGCTGCTATATGCAGCCATGTAACTTGGGAAATAGCTGTTGTCGGGATCAAGGGCTAAGATTTATCAGTGCCAGCTCCAGGGCATATAGTCAGCCCAAGTTGGAAATGTAAATTTCTTGAGGTTTTTTTGGCTTTATTGAGGTTGTTTTGCATTATCGTTTTACTCATGAAAATAAGTTGCATTTGTTTAAGGGTAAACATTCAAGATAATCAGCTTGTACAGCCACCATCACCGGCTCCTTCAAATTCAAGCTTCTCCAATTGGTATGAACTTACCTCAAACCGACATATTCCCCTACTTACTTGATCAGTGGTGTAAAAGTTAAAGTTGTTAGGAAGGAAACGGCTGTATTTATTTAAAATTGTTACGTTCACAATATTTATAAGAATAAAGCCCCCTGTCCCAGCTTGGGGACAGGGGCGCCACATTGCGCCCCCCCCGGCTGGCACCCCTCCAATAGGGGGGGGGGCACTGTCCCTGACCCTGTCCCCAAGAGCAGGGTTGTATTTATAAATAGCCGGTCACGTTTTAATAGCACGTCAAACCATCTCACTTGGTGCAGTGCAGGGTGAAGTGGCTCTTGGGATCTGTACTGCCATTACTGCTATCATTATGGAAGACAAACTGGAATGGTTTCTGGAGTTTGGAAGGTAAATGACATAACGGAAGTTTATGCGGAAGAAACAAATGTCACGTGAAAACTCAAACTTGTTTACTTTGAATGTTAGGTAAGGCGGAAAAGGTTGTAGAAGAAGTGGAAGATGTGGCGGAGGTGATTGAAAAAGTAGCTACCACAGCAGATAAGACATTAGCCACCGTGGCGGATTGGCTTCCAGATGAAAGTAAACTCAAGGAAGCAGCTCTAATGGCCGAGAATGTATCAAGTATCACGGCGAAGGATGCTCTCTGTGCTCAGAATTTAATTCATAAGGTATCATTTTAAAATCTTTTTTTTTTCCTTTTATAGTTTCTATTTTGCAGAAATTAGAAATGTGTTCGCATGATTAGGTTGAAGACTTGAAGCAAGATTTGGAGGACCTGGAGACGATGGTTGAACCTGTTGTTCGTAAAATCATAGACAAAAAATAGTATAAAACAATTATTATTCTATTAGTGTTAATTTAATCTGGGATTTATTTTTGTAATATTTTTCTTCAATTTCGAAAATTGTTAACGTTCTTGAAAAATAAAGAGACAGAAATCTGATAGGAACAGAAATTTTAGAACAATATAATCTACGATATAAACTCCGTATAAACTATAGAATCAGTTTGTAAATAATAATCTCTTAGAAGTATGACAGTTTTTGGACTTTTTTCTTTTTTAAGGATGTTAAATTTTAAAACCTACATTATAAAAATATAATGAAACCGGTACCTCCAAACTCAACTTTGTGCATTTGTCTCTCTCTCCCAATCAGTCGACTACAAACTGTCATTACCATTTACAGCTTATCCATCATTTGAAAATTTGATTGTGACCCCCTAACTCAAAATATTTGGGTCCGCCGTTGAAGCAAAGCCCAAACTTTTAAGTACTGTTATAATTCGGACTAGATTTGAGATCACTTTGTTGAAAGCGAAACAACTATCCGACAAGGTTCATTGTTTCTCATTGCAATGACACCTTACGTCACCACTTCATATGCTACAAACAAATCTCGATTGGGACACATAGAATGCACAAGCAGTATCTAAAATCTACTCATCGTCAAGCTTGGATTCCACGTCAAAAATCGTCAAGACATCTCCATCACTCAAATAGTCCTCAACTGTGTTAGTCTCATTTGTAGTGTTTGATTGTTTCTCATGATTTGCAATTGAAGTACCTTTATTCAAATTTTCACAATCTCTCTTAATATGTCCTTTTTCTTGCAATAGAAACAAATTTGATTGTTGAAATTCACCCTCGACTTACCCCTTTGTCAATCACCATGAACCACAGGAGCTTCTTCACCTCTGGACTCAGCTCTAATCAGATGCTTTATCTTCTTCTTTGAGAACAAGGCATCTCTTCAATTATGAGTGTGTCATGACTGTACAAAATTATGTGTCTAAACAATGAAAACGAAATAGGCAGTGAGCACAACAGGATAAAGGTCAGGTCCTCTTCATCATATTTTACCTCTAACATTTCCAGATTAGCAACGATCTCCTTGAACACGGCCAAATGGTCTTCCAAAAATCCTCCTTCTGCCATGCGATAAGAATGTAGCCTCTGCTTCAAATGCAACTTGCTTGTCAGACTTTTGGTCATGCACGGTTGCTCAAATTTCAACCTTAATGCAGCAGTTGTTTTCTCCTACAAAATGTCCTAAAAAATGTTGTTAAATAGATGAAGATGAATATGCAAAAGTGCCTTCTGATCCTTACATTGCTTTTTCTCTGTTGTCCAAATTATGGGCATATTGTCAAATCTTAACAACACATCATCCGAATCCATTTGTGTCAATACAGCTCGCACCTTCACTTGCCATAATGAAAATCTTATATCGCGATCTAAAAGCAAAATTTCGTACTTCATAGTTGCCATCCATGATAGAAACCTCAAACAAAATCACAATATTGCTCTGATACTACTTGTTAGGAAATGAGGAGGTTATATGACACAATAGCATTAAATAGAAATTTTGTTTTGATAGAGCACGACCCCGCTATTCCGAATACGAATTGATCTTTTAAAAGATCCACTGCAGAACGAATATGAAGTATATGATCCGAACATAGAAAACAATATTTAAAAGCAAGAAATAGATTCGTAGAGAAATCGAGTGTTTTTATTAATTGACAACCAATTGAAAGAAAAATACAATTTCAACAATTACATAAACTAAAAAAAGAGTCAAATATATATAGGGACAATCCAAGCCCTAGAAACAAAGCTGTAGATGAAATAGAATGTCCAAAAGTTTTCTCATCGTGATTTCTTTAAATCCAACTCAAATTATAACTCCTAACAAGGTTTCCAAATAGAATTTCAACTAGAATTTGCCAATATACTTCGAATAAGATCCCAAATAGAATTTTTCTTAATATGCACTTTAATTAGAACTCTCAGATCACATCCAAATTCTAACAAGTACGGCACCGTTAGCTGTAGACTATAGAGCAACATCTGAGACTAGCGGCATGGCGACGAAAGGTGATGGAGAAGGGGTTGAATCCGATGGAGGGGTTGAAAGGGTGTTTGGAGCAAGAGCGTAAACCGGTGGGTTTGAAACCATTGAGGATGGTCATGGAGTTGCGGAAGGCTGCAACGCCACGGCATATTCCACCAACAAACCTATCATCACGAAAACTAGAACCGTAGATACCGCCATTGTGAGAAAGGAAAATCTTAAAACACTGAGGATTTTGAGAAAAACTTGATATTTATCGTATGTTTGAAAGAGTACTACGAAGGGGTATTTATATGCACGAGGAAATATTTCATAATTTAAGTTAATTATTCCCAAGTTCACGTGGACATCTAGGGAATTGAACGTGGAGATTATTCGGGGGAGGGAAAGCACGCTTCAACACTAAATAGCATTCCGAAGATGTAGCTAGTGAAGAATGGTTTTACATTATTCTTTTTGAGGGATTTACACACAATTATAGGTTTGAAAGAATGTTTATTTCAAACTACAGTAAAACTTCTATGAAATAATAATATTGAAATCGAGAAAATTTATTATTTTAGAGGGGTTATTAATTTATCGATAAATGAATAATGAATATTTATCAATTTATACAGTACTTTATATTTTTATAACTTATATTATATATTACCATAATGTATGTACGAATTTTTAAAAAAAATATGAAACAGTGAAATTCAAATTTTAATTTGTAAGTACACAAAAAGGCACACGCATACATTAAAGAGGAAAAAAGAAAAAAAGCAAAGATTTTAAATTCATATTTTGAAAAAGTCGAATTAAAAAATTATGTCAAATTAAATATTTGTTAATTTGTATTAGCATGAACTTTCATGAATTTAAACAGTTATTATTTTATATATCTATTGCACTTTAAAGAAATTCCAAAGAGAGAGAGAGAGAGAGAGAGAGAGAGAGATTATTATCTTATGTGTGTAGTGGGATTATTAATTTACTATACTGGCCCAAGACGAGATCGAAGAATTTTATTATTTAAGTGTGATTATTAATTTATAAAACATTCATTTATTGAAGTTTTACTATAATCTAATCAATCTCAACACATTGGAAATTGACTCAATCAGATTAAATTTGCCTTGACCAAGTTGAAATCATATAAAGGGAGACCAGGTTGTCAACACTAGCGTAAGCAAGGGCGGATTTAGGGACTCGCTGGGCTGTGCTACAACTCGTCCCTTCAACCCAAAATGTTAATTAAATAAAAAATTAAGTAATTTTTTTTTTCTTCTTTTTTTGCGTTAGCTCATCTTGAATTTTTTCTTGGATCCGCTCCTAAGCGCAAGGAAATGGAAATGCAGGAAGAAAGGATTGTGAACACAAAGGGAGAGTTGGGAAAAGGATTGGATGCCAAGGAAATGAGGGGATTGAACTGGTTTTAAGGATAAAAGTCTTTGTGAAAAAGAAGATACATCAAAGATTATTTTGAAATTTTTGTTTTCAAGAAGCCCATTTTCCACCTATACAAGAATTCCAATCTTAGTATTTCATGTTGATAATCAGGTCATTGCGTTTTTTTATTTTTTTATTTTTTTTATTTTTTTATTTTTTTTGGGATTTATGGCTTCTGAAATTTAGATCTTACAAAATATCAAATCAAACTTGACATGCACCATTTCAAAAGTTTTATATTTCTAGTAAATGTCGTCCATATCATTTTACAGTAAACAAATTGATATTTAGGAGATATTTGGTAAATTAGATTGACCATAATAAAGGAATTAAAAAGGTCAAATAAATTATTACTTAATCTTATGCACCAAACATGTCATTAAAGATCAAAAATATCCTCATATCTTCACTTAAAACCACACGTTTCAGTCACCACCTTCGCTAAAAAATGGCCACTTAAATGAACTGTGATAGAACTATATCATGCATGTCTCTCTCGAGTCTCGATCAATCTAATTCACTTTACATCTCTATTTTGCATTTATAACCATTTGATCTCATCAGTTCGTGAAAAACAATGTAAATTCCTTT